TTTAGATTTTTTAGTAGATATGCACCCATCAGTCAGTCAGTAATCGGAACTGGATATTTATCCCTTGATTGGCTCATCAAGAACATAAAAATCAGATTTCATGGTAAATGAATCAGAACTAAGAACTTGCATAATTGTCTTTCTATAAATGTATCAACCAACAACACATACTTTGACTGGCTTTATTTTTAATTAATGAATCGTCTTGTAATTCCATTATTTTCAGTTCAAATTACTAAACATTTTCTGTCATTCATAATATAGTCCCAGGAATGACAAAAACGGAAAAATCGGAATCTGTCAAATCTCAGAAACCTGAAGATTGGGATCGACCAGAAAAGGGTTGATCCATGCTTCTTATTTGTTGTAAAAACATTTGAAAAAATAGTAAAGTATAATTTTCCAGCTTATCTGCACATGCAATTGAGGTTGAAATAAAGAATTGAACATATTTTTGTAGGCCAATATGTTATCCGTTTTTTTTTTTTTTTTTAAAGCCGCAGCACATTCCTGCCCCATCTCAGATTTTTGTCTGTCCTCCACATGTCACATTAGCGATGCAGAACTCTCACTTCCTCCGTCTCTGCCCGTCAACCTCATCTGTGCTGAGAGTCGTCGACAAGCTAAAAATCACCCTACATCATTAACAGGAGTCAAACAGAGAGCGGGATCAAAACAGTTTAAAAAGAGATGCTATTCAGTGGATCTTATGCAACAACAAGCAAAGAAGCTTCTAGATGCTACTGTAAAGTCTGAATAAAGACAAAAACACAGGTAGAAATGGTTTGAAAGTTTAGATTTGTCATTTTTCAATAACATCTCAAGCCATTTTGTTGTCCTAGAAGCCAAACGTTACATTGATCACTGTGTAATTTCAGTGGTAATCCGGATTTTAAACCTTGTACTTGTTTTTGATCCGTCGACTCTTTTCTTCAATAACTGAGAAAACTAAAGCCAAAGAGATACGACGATGTAAATGGTACGAAAAGGCCTGCTCAGTAATTGAATCTGGGTGCAAACAGATCATAAAAAACCCTGTAAAGCGTGTAAAGCCCTGACAACGTGCTTGACCACCCATTTTCAATCACCTCGAAAACCTCACACAGCTGACAGATGAGATAACAGATGCTTAAAATTATAAATGAGCCTTTTTAAACGGGGCTGTTAAATTTTAAGCCTTCCTCCAAATGCCAGATGCCGTAGTGCATCTTGTCTTACAGAGCCCTAACACGGAAAAGGACAAGGCTCATGACAAAACCAGAAAAAGAAAAGAAAAAAAGAAAAGCAGGATTAGTAGCACACTTATTAAAGATGAGCAGAACCATCTTCCTGTTCTCGAGTGTCCATCAATCATCAATTACGGCTGCATTAACCCGTTTGGGGACCTTGATAATTCAGAGTCACCGCTTGATCCTCGCCTGATAGAGTCGCTGTGGGTGTTTGGCTTGTCAACGCTCTTCACTGACAATTAAACCTATAA